TATAGGCTCAACAATTTTTGTATTTCTCCTTAATGCTCCTTTTTATAGGCTCAACAAATTTTGTACTTCTCCTTAATGCTCCTTTTTATAGGCTCAACAAATTTTGTATTTCTCCTTAATGCTCTTTTTTTATTGGCTCAACCAATATTTTTTGTATTGAATGTAAGAAAAAAGAATCTTCATCCCTCTTGTGAACATTATCTTTAAACCAAAAAACAACAACCAACTTTGCTCTTTAGCTTTTAGTTGCAACTCATTTTCAAACATGTCTATTTTGTTAAACGTTCTCTGAGTTTTCAACTCAAAAATCAATTGACAATTAGTGATCAGTTTTAATATGGGATTTCTAACATGTCTTTTCAAGATGATGGTTTCTCTAATCCATTCCGAGTCGAAGCTTACTTTTTAAAAATTTGCAACATATCTTATTTTTATCCACCGATAATCAATTTGCGCAAGTTGGTTGCAGAAATTTTGGTGTAGCAAAAGTAGGTTTAAACGTTGGAAAACGAACTTAACTCATAGTATTGTCTTAATGGGCATGATTCCTCCTATAAAGTTCTTGATACAGGAACAAATTCTTAATGAACTAGCATTGTCGTTTTCCAACGTTTAAACTCATGATACATGAACAAATTCTTAATGAACTAGCATTCTCAAATTTTGTACCAAATCTGGAAGCAGCAATGCCCAATTTGACATATGATGAGCTTGGAAAGATGGTTCAAGGAGTGAAAGTGAATTTTTTGGAGAGAGTACTTGGAGATCATCATGAGGCATATATATTAGTTGGACAGGTGTTTATAGAAAAGTATTGAATCGGGGAAGTAACGAGTGATTTGTTAAACTGTGAAAATGGCAAAGTACATGGATTGAAATGGTGGAACGAAATGGCTAGTAATGTATTGCATGATCATGGATATAAGGAGAATGATAAGTGATGGGATTGGGGAATACCAAAGCACGACGATGATGCCCTTCGTGTTCAACTCTTGTTAGTTTTTACAGGGGTTGAGAAAGTACGTCCACCGAATTAGTGGTTAAATCTATTTTTGTTACCAAATCGTCTCATAAGTTTAACAACTCTTGTAAGTTGTGACAGAAATTATGTATCCTACGAATGACAAACATGTTCTTGATATGTATTTGTGGAATAAGTTCAAAGGTTCTATATTGCGAATATGGACGAGAGGGAAAGACAAGATGTTGGATCTGCTTAGGATGACCATATGTTCCGGAAGCTGTCCCGGTACCTAGGTTTGTTCAAGAGTCCAACAAACCCCGACAACTTTTCAAGTTCAACCAGTGGAAGCTAGCTGTACCGCTATAACGTTTCAAAACAAACACAGTTCCTGTTTGTATACCATGTTTTACAAAAACTTAATTTCTTCTACGCAACGACAAGATGCAGGGGACGGACAAGGTCGTCTAGGTGGTGATGATGATATGGTGCAGAAAATGATACATTTGGTGATCTTCAAGTACTCCCTCTGTTCCAAATTATAGGATGTTTAAGCCTTTTTTTCTTGTTCCACAATATAAGATTTTTCAGATTTTTATGCATAATTTATGTTTATTTAGTTTATTTATGACCATTTAAATTCTGCTGTCCCTTTTTCTATTGGTTAAATTTTTATAAATAAATAAACATTTATTACTTCTTAATCTTTGTGCTTTTAACAAATGCATCTTATAATTTGGAACAGAGGAAGTAGTAAACTAGCCAACATTCATATCGTTAGAACAACTTTTTCCTAATGCAAGTTCAACCATTTCAGTAACTTGTTAAGATACATCAATGTAATTTGAAGAAATAGCAAATTACACTAAATATATGTTGATAGCAACGTATTTTACTTATTTTCACTATCATTTTAATATGTTTTCAATAAGTGTGTAGTGCGATCGTGATGGTTTTCAAGCACATTTCTATTATTAGTTGTCTCAAATATATTTTCAAATTATTTGGATAAAAGACAAAAAATCAAAATAAATCAAGTATTTTGAGAATTATAACAATTTCGATACCTGAGAAGTTCAACATTCGTTGGAAGATTTCCCAATCGCCAAATTGGAAGATTTTGATGTTATTGGAAATTTTGAAAAGATAGTTTTCATTCCACTTAAATACCTTACGAATTTAATTGATATTTATTATTATTATTATTATTATTTTATCTTTAATTTTAATTGATACTATATATTTATAATTTTTTTGGTTAATTTTCTCAAAACCAAATAATTTTATTTTAGCTCTAATTAGCGTTAAAAAAAAAAAAAAAAAATTCCCGTATGGGGAATAGATCTCAGCCGTTGATCGTAATCAACGCTGTACAATTACTGGCTCTGCCTGGTACTTGTTCTGCTCCGTCGCTCAGATAGGATCTCAACAACACACCACAAACCCTAAATTTCGTCAACTCCACAGCGACAGCGACTCGATTCGATCAAGAAATGGCTTACGCTTCTCGTTTCCTCTCCAGATCTAAGCAGGTCTATACTCTCTCCCTCGATTCTTCTGATTTGTTTCAATCATTTCCTTTTGATTCTCTTCTTCGCTCTCTCTGATTCCTTTTTGGTGTTTTTCTCCGATTTTCTGGGTTTTTATGTGTTTCCATGCGATAAGTAGAGTGAGGTTATTTGGATTTTACCGTATCTATCACCGAATCACATCTTAGGGTGTGCCATTTCGAATTTTTGTTACGATCTCGATCGGAGAGTTTGTTGAATCGAATGATCAATTTTTAATGGGTTTTGCTACTCTGCTGGTATGATATCGATTTGCAAGAAGTATTTTTTCATCAAAAACTTTTGATTGACCAATACATTTCTGGTTTCATGGATTAGCTTTAACTTATCTTACTCTCATTATGCAGTTACAGGGGAGTCTGGTCATTTTGCAGCAGCAGCATGCTATTCCAGTCAGAGCTTTTGCAAAGGAAGCTGCTCGTCCAACCTTTAAAGGAGATGGTTTGTGAACAAAACTGACACCTTTGATTTGTTATTATGCGTAGAACATTGCTTTCAATAACATGCGTAGTTGATTTCAATGCTTCTGGTTGCATTATTTTTCTGAAAACACTTGCCTTCCCTTGTTTAGCTGTTCATGTTTTTGAGTTTAACATCGTGTCTACTTAAGAATGTGTCGAGTCACTTTCTCGATGAGAATTGTGTAGAAAAACTATACTGGTCAATGTAACATAATCTTGTGAAACTGAGGCTATGATTGCTAGGACTGTTTATCTCCTTACTTCTTCTGTTGAGTGTTTATGATGGATTATGTTTAATATGTTGCTGAGATCTGTAGTATGTGTTTAGAGTGAACAAGCATTGCTTTTTACTATTATTGACTCAAGTCTTACACCTTTTTTACAGAGATGTTGAAGGGTGTCTTTTTTGATATCAAGAACAAATTCCAGGCTGCTGTTGATATTCTCCGTAAAGAAAAGATCACCCTTGATCCAGAGGACCCAGCTGCGGTAAAACAGTATGCTACTGTTATGAAGACCATCAGGCAAAAGTAGGCCTCTTGTTGCTGTTTTTAAGATGTTTGTTATTTAGCTTGAATGTATGTTGCTGTCTCTATTTCTGGCTATTGGGATTTCCTTGTTTCACTTTTCGATTTCCCCCAAGCTTTCACATTATGGGTCAGAGCTACTATCATAATTCTGTTAATTTGATTGCTTGTCATGCGTTTTCTTGGTATGCAGGGCAGACATGTTCTCAGAATCTCAACGCATTAAACATGACATTGATACTGAAACTCAAGACATTCCAGATGCTCGTGCATACTTGTTGAAGTTGCAGGAAATCCGCACCAGGTAAGTATTAGAATTCGAATTAGTTTCAGTCATTCTTTTGGGTAGTGTTCCCTCACCTGTCAAGTTACTCTTCTTATGTTAATAAAAGTAATTCTATTATATTGAAGTATCACCCTGTAATATCTTGAATATGATTGTTAAGCAATTATCTGAAAAATGCATATAACTATCTATCTTTTCATCTCCCTCTTTTTTTTTTTTTTCGCCAATCTTTTCATCTCCCTCTTTACGTTGCTATTGTTTGCAACATTTGAAGAATTGTTGGAAGCAGTCTTTAGTTATTCTTCCACTTGTGATAAATCTTGCAGGAGGGGGCTTACTGATGAGCTTGGTGCTGAGGCCATGATGTTCGAGGCTTTGGAGAAAGTCGAGAAGGACATAAAGAAGCCTCTCCTAAGAAGCGACAAGAAAGGAATGGATCTTTTGGTTGCAGAGTTTGAGAAAGGCAACAAAAAGTGCGTTATCATTTTTCAACCACCCGAACAAATGATTTTCATTGCTCCTTATATATGTCGATTTTTACATATTTATAGCTAATTGAATTGCATGCTTGCGTCTCATTAATCTGAGCAGGCTTGGGATTAGGAAAGAAGATCTTCCTAAGTACGAGGACAATTTGGAGCTCAGCATGGCCAAAGCACAGTTGGATGAGCTGAAGAGTGATGCTGTTGAAGCTATGGAATCTCAGAAAAAGAAGTGAGTTTTGTTTTTCGTTTCGTTTCTCAATTTAATCAATCTTTGATATTAATCATGTCATAACGCGATGGAAACTTGCGGATTATTCAGGGAGGAATTCCAGGATGAGGAAATGCCGGACGTGAAGTCTCTGGACATCCGTAACTTCATCTAAGGTTTGAAACATTTGATTTGTTGTAAGAAAAGGCAGAAGAAAGATCTCTCACTTGATTGTCTTTGAAAGAGAAGATCGTTCCCTTTGCTGTTTTGGTTTGGCGTTCAATAAGGTCTCTCACCTGGATTTGAGTCTAACTTTCTCTGTGCTTTGAGATTCTTAGACACAAACGTTGTTTCATGTTTTTGATAATGGTGATAACTGGAATTTGAGATGATGATTAAATAAAAGTTGATGTTAAATCGAATCAAAAGTGTTGCAAGCAAAAACAACCTGAAAACTAATGTCATAATTGTATTTATCTTTTATGCTAGGAAAAAGTTGCCAGAAAAATAGGGATAATACAAAATTTTATGATCATCGGTTTAAATCGGCTAATGAAATGTAATTATTTGGTTTTCTGGGAATTTCTACACCTTTCTTTCTTCTAATCGAAGTTTCAAGTTACTAGACCAATCATAATTGAACACGTGGCAAAATTGTGAACAATTATAAAAGGTATGTCTGAGGACGTTAACTACTTACTGTGTTTCTTCGCCATGGCGATTTCTATCAAAGCTCCTTCTCTTTCGGGAACGAGAGAGTCTTCTTCCTTCCTTAACCGGTTTGTCACTCGTCGACCGGATTTTGCTCCGGTTAAATTCTACCGGAAGCCTCGTCTTGCTTTGAGTGACAAATCGTTCTCCATTGTTCGCTCGGTTTTGGAGACTGAGAAGAGTACGAAGATAGAGAAGCCTGAGCCTCCGGTGAAATTGATTTCTCTCGTCGGTAAGGGAACACTAAGCCCACTCAAATCCACCTCCTGGGAAGAAGTTATGCTCCACACTGTAAGTAATTGTCTTCTCTCTCTCGGTAACAATTGTTGCAAATTCCTCAACATTTAGGTTTCTGAATCGTAGTATATTCTGATTACAATTGCAAAATTCTTTTTTTTTTACAGGCAAGAAGATTGAAATGGGTTGATGAAGGATATGAAATGCTCGTCTTTGATGATGAAATTCTGAGTTCAAATGATCAGAGAGCTTTGACTCTGAAACAGGAACTGAATCAGACTGATATCTTGGTTGTTGTTGCTGTTAATAACTCAGAATCTGTGAATTGGATTTTGACTAACAGCAGAAACGTCAAGAACATGATTTGCTTCGAGTCTTCTTCAGATTTGATGAACAGGCTTGGAGGGACTGATATTGGAAGTGTGAATCAAGATAAACAAGTAACAGAGGTTGTGAAGACTGTAGGAGATGCTTGGGAACGTCGTAACTCTGATGATATAAGGTTCTGTTTACTTGTGATTATCAACGCTTATATAAGACCAGTTCCTGTGTTGCAGAACTTGAGGTCCAAAGGGTTTTCTACCCTTACTTGTATGGTTAAAAACTGTGGACTTCAGATTTTGAACTGTCTTTTGGATCCGAATTGTCGAAAAGCTCTTCAGTGTTTGAACCAATGTAGTCCTGTGGATCAGGTGTGTAGTTACAGATGCATTGCTTCTTATGAGAGTCCTTACTTTGAAGCATTCTCTCTTTGTGTACTACAGAAACACAATTGTTTAGAACTGGATGCAAAGATCCCTGAGAAGCCTTATGTGCCTCCCATGACGAGTTTTCGAGGGAAGGAGTTGTGTCATGATACAGCAGAAGACTTGTTTGTTGGATGGTTAGGGGAATTGGATTGGAGCTGGCGTGTCGTGGCTGGACAAAACCCGGCTTATGATCAGTTTCCATGTCAGTACCAGCTTTTCTACAGAGGGAAAGGGAAGTCGGCTTTTTGGTATGAACCCGTGTTTCAGGTCAGAACACTTGAAGGGAAGCTAGTGTGGAGAAGGAGGAGATACTCGGTTAAGAGAGGAAAGATCCCTGCAACATTTCGTTTCAGCGTTTTGGACAATGGTGTGGTGTCGAATGAGTTGTGGACTATTGTTGATGTATCTGATGATCTAAGTTGGGGACTGTTCCATTACAATGGAGCGGCTCGTGTAGCGGGACAGTCTTACACCGGGGCTGTGCTCGTGACACCGGATGGTTCCTACCCGGCAGAGAAGGAAAAGGAGAGATTGAAGTCTGCATTGGAGAAATGTGGGATTAAGGAGTGGGAACTCTTTGCTGTTGACAATTGTTCTTGCGAAAATCCGCCATTGGGGATTCCGCAAGGCTCTAGACTACATTCGAGAATCAGCGTCATAGAGGAACCAGACTCGGAAGAAAAATTCAACTAATTTTGCATTGGTTAGACACTGTTTATCTTGTAAATACATGTTTCTTTATGAATATCATTGAATCCAATATGGAGTTAACCCCGATGAGACGAAAGATAGAAAGAAATTCGTGTTAAAAATGCAAACGTTTTTGAAATGTAGTAAACGGTAAAAACAACTTAGAGAAAAACACAGTGGTACAGGCACACCAGCATCAAACTTGGCACTTTGAAAAAGTAAACGCAAATCAAGCAAAGAGACATAACCTCAGATAAAGGAAGTTGGCTTCCTTAGTTCTTACAGGGAGGGGTAAAGACAAAACTAAGACAAATACCATCTTCGGTCATCATCTGTTGAAACAAAGATAAGGATAAAATGAGAAGAAGTTGATGCATAACTACTTGAGAATAACGGAAAAGTTGCGTTACCAAACTAAGACTCACTTTTTAACAGCTCCAAGAGATGACGCTCAAGGTACATAAGATAGATGTCTCCAACTTGATCCTCTTCTGTTGCAGTTTCACGGCCATCCTGTATAAATATTTTTTAAAATTGAAAATAAAACTGCAAAAGTCAATGGTTAAAGTTGTACAAGATGATTGATTAAAATGTTACCGTAGACATTATGCATTTGAGGTGAAACTCGTCACCACAGTGTTGGCATGAATAAAACACATTGGAGCATTTTCTTCCGTGTAGTTTCCTAACCCCGATACTTTCTCCACAGAGAGAGCAGAGACTAGGCCAAACACGATTACTTTCTTCCACGAGAGTATGCTGATGTTGTTGGTTCTTCACATGTGATGGAAACCCAATACACTCTGCATGGGCGTTGAAGTCACAACTAATACATCCGTAGAACGACACACCGCAGGGTCTAGCGCACACACGGCAAGTTCGAGTGATCGTCGAGTCAGCAATCCAGAAGTGATAGAAATAGTGGCTGTGAGGCTTGATCTCTTTTGGCAATCTTACAGCTTTGATGCATTTAATATGGAAACTGATTTCGCAAGTGGAACAATGATAGCCATACTTTCTAATTTCCAGCTTGCAGGCACTGCATTTGGATCCACTTACAAATGAAACTCTAAGGTTGTGATCAGGATGAAGTGGATGATAGAATCTTATTTGCCTTTCAACTTCCACACACAGGGGATGATATACATCTTCACACTCCAAACATGAAACAAGTGAGCTTTGATTGATCAGACGCTCCACAAATGTTGAAAGCATAAGCGATGACATATGTATGGTCTTGTCTTTTCCACACACCTTCTCTTCACATATAGCGCAAGCCATGGAATACGACTTTGAGACCATAATTTGATCCAACGAATGGTCTTTTTGAATGCATCTAATCATCCCTTCACAGCTTCCAATGATTTTTTGCCCTCTTTGTAACTCCGTAAACAAATGTTTACCTTTAAATATGCAATTGGTATGGATGACAAAATTGCATAGCCGACAGAAGAGATTGAACCCTTGGATATCATTTGTGCAAATGTCGCAATTCATAGTAACCCCTGCACCTGCAGGGGCCTCTGGCAAGAGTGTCAAAGGATGCTTATGGACTCGATGCTTCAATGATCGCCCTAGCTCTGCGCAGAAATTATGCGCCTGAAAGCTGCATGTCTCGCATTTACATGGGCTACTAAGTATTCTTGTTTTACATATGTTGCAATTTGCAGTTTCATCAAGTTCACTGACATCAACGAATCTCATCACATGAATATGCCCCTTCATACTATTAACCTGAATTATTCAAGGGAAGCGTAGTCACAACCAATAAATGAAAAGAGTATACACTCTTTTAATTTAAACTAGTGTAATGAATGTAATAAAAATTCATACCATTTGTTCAAGAAAAAAAAAAACCATACCATAAGTTTGGTTTCTAGCTCATTGGTATCATGGTCCTCTTGATTTGTTGAACTTGTGTTGTCTTTGCTGCAAGCGTAAAGATCTTTCAAGTATAATGGCGAAGGCACTTCCTGTGGATTATATAACAAAGAGTAGATCATATCGTCATCGTCTTCTGGACCAACCATCATCATTACAAAAATTAAACCAGAAATGTAACGAAATGTTAATTACCTTGCGTAGAATGCATTCAATGTGGCCCAGAAAACCACATTCTTCACAGGAATAAACATGATGTCCTGCATATACCATTGTCTCGCAAACGCCACAATACTCCAAAAATTCTTCCTCATATGGGAGCAATTTGCACACAAGTGGATGAATGTGATGAGACTTGGCGACCACAAACTCAGGTATCTCAAGACACTCGAAATGGAAAACCATACAGCATTCCATGCAGTAAAAAAAAGAGTCCAGAGAGATCTCATTACATCTCCCGCATATTTGACATTGATGGTTTTCTGTGAAACTTATGTAAGATTTAGTTCTATAAATCAACATGTGCTGATGAGACTTGTGCATAAGACCTCGCAGAAAAGAATCTAAACACCTCAAATGAGCGTCAAAAACGCATTCTAGACAACCAAATGGGATACTGGCAATGATTTCCCCGCATATATCACAGCGACTAGAACGTGTGTAATCAAGTCGTTTGAGAGGGTGTGCAGGATGCACAGGATGTGCAATCTCTCTTGGAAAATCAATACAGCGTTCGTGAACAAATGAGTAACAGTGAACGCAACCGTAACATATTGCAGAGGGAGAGAGGGGAAGCTCACAGAGAAGGCAAGAACCTCTAGCGTCTGGTCCCGGTCTACACCTCTTAAGCAAGTGGCAATGGCTGTAATGGAGCAAGTCTTTGTCACCCCAGCCCCTGAAGATGTTCGCACTGAGCGCACAATCGAGATCCAGATAGATCTCACACTCTTTACACTTGTAGAAAGAACCAGAAGACATGTTACCACACCCGGAGCAGACGATATATCCCGGTTTCTGATCGTACTTATGCACACAAAATTCTAGAGGATGATCCGGATGGAAATCGTGTGACACCTTCTGCGGCAGATCATGAGAGCAAGCTTTACAAAGATTGAATTCGCAAGGGTTACATGCCAACTCGACGACTTCATCTTTGTAGCAAATGCTGCAAATCCCCTCGGCGACGATCTTTGGCGAAGTCAACAGGCATTCATGGGAGAAATGCTGTGGCTCTGCCATCCAAGTCAACGAGAGAAACGGGAGATGAGATCCAAAGTTTTTTTTTTTTTTTGTTAAAATTTAAGATAGTGGAAGGAGTAGTTACGAAACAAGTAGTTCAGTTTTATATAAATCGTATACAATGATTAACGGGCTTATTACATACCAATCTACGAGATTTCACTAAGCCCACCAGAGAAGAGTTTTGATATGGGAATCTAACTCCATGTATTTTATTTTTACCACTACTCAAATAATTAGCAAACTCAAAAATTGATCCGACGCGAAATCCCAAACTTGAAAACCTCTATAAATTAATACTCCATAAATTAATAAATTTATCTGGTCCCGAATTGGACCAATGTTAAAAATGACAAAATTAAATAAGATTTGAAAATCTTATGTAAACATATGGTTTCATTAGTATCATAAATTAATAATTTATAAATTTATCAAAAATAGATATAATATATGAAAAAAAATTGATCTGTAGATACTTTTTTCTCATTGTGTTCTTAAGATCGATTTTTTTTTATATTAAAGTAAACAAAATGTGAGTTTTTAAGAAAAAAAGTAACAGTCCATTACTCCTTTTTAAAAAAAACCACCATTTTTTAAACACATTAATTAAAAAACTCTACAGTTAAAGTAGCAAACTCGATATCCCAACCAAAAATTGACCCGACCCGAAATCCCAAACTTGACCCAAAATTATAGCTGAAATCAAAACTCAAAAACACAAATAATTGGAAAACGAACTTTTAAAATAAAAAAACAGAGAAGCAACTAAAGTTCTGAACATTTTTCTTGGTTGACTTTCTTGCTCTCTCTCGATGGGAAAGCTCCAACATGGATCTCATGAATGCGAGTTGACCTCGCCGGGGATCGTCGCAAATGGGATCTGCAACATCTGCTTCAAAGATGAACCTGTTGAATTCGCCTGTGACCCTTGTAATTTCGATCTCTGCAAAGCTTGCTCAGATCTTCCCCAGCAAATGTCACACCATCTTCATCCGGAGCACCCTCTAGAGTTTCGTATTGGCGAAGATGATCGGAAGACCAAATACATGGTGTGCGTCGGGTGCGGAAACATGTCTTCTGGAACCTACTACTACGAGTGTAACAAGTGTGAGATCTATCTTGATTTGGGTTGTGCACTTCACAAGAGCATAACAACGGGTTGGGAAGCCAAAGAGATGCTCCATTACAGCCATGAACACCAGCTTAAGAGGTGTAGGCCGGGACCAGATTCCAGAGGCTCTTGCCTTCTCTGTGAGCAACCTCTCTCTTTCACTGCAACCTGTTACGGTTGCGTTCACTGTTACTTGTTTTTACACGAGCGTTGCCTTGATCTTCCAACAGAGATTCAACATCCCGTGCATCCTCTGCACCCTCTCAAACGCCTTGATTATATACAAACTTTTGACGGTCGGAAGTCTTGTAGTGCATGTACAGGCAAATTTGTTGGTGTCCCATTTGGTTGCTTAGAATGTGGGTTTTACCTTCATCTGAGATGTGCAGATGCCTTGCTGCGGGGTTTGTTGCATAAGTCTCATGAACACAGGTTGTTTTATGTACAAGATACTCGTCGTGTCGCTGATGATAGAGTAAAATGCCCATGTATAATATGCGAAGAAACTGTGGTCTATGACAGTTTTTATTATATATGCGTCGAATGTGATTTGAAATGTCATACCAAGTGTCTTGAGATACCTGAATATGTGGTCAGGAAATCCTATCACATCCATCAACTTAGATATAAAAGAGTCGGAGCGGAGGATGATTTTTTGGAGTATTGTGGTGTTTGTGAGACTCTGTTACATTCAGGACATCCTGCGTATTCCTGTGAAGAATGTGATTTTCTTGGTCACACTGAATGCATTCTACGCGAGGTAATTAATAGCTCTGTTTTTTTCTTATAATGATGATGGTATATATATTGACGAAAATGATGAGCTAGTACTCTTACTCATTGCCAACAGGAAGTACCTTCCCCATTGTACTTGAAAGATTTGTACTCTTGCAGCAAAGACACAAGATCCAAAAATCTTACAGACCTTGAAACCAGTGAATCAGAAGATATGTTACTGGTATGGCTTTTTATTATAATCAATACACTAGTGAAACAATGTCTTCCCCTAAATTGTTTCAAATCTATGCTCCAGGTTAATAGCTTCAATCATATTCATGTGATGAGACTGATCCACATGAGTGAGCTTGAGGAAGAAGGAAAGTGCAACATGTGTGGTACAAAGATACATGATAATCCTTGCAAATGTGAGACATGTAGCTTCCAATCACATGATTTCTGTGCAGAGCTTGGGCGACCATCAAGGCATCAATTTCATTTGAACCATTTTTTGACCCTTCTACCAAATTCCCCTAGATGGATTCAAGGTACGTGTAAGTCCTGCAAAGCTGATATAAAAGGGTACAATCTCTTCTGTCGTATATGCAATTTTATCATCGACATCAATTGCGCTTTGAAAGACAAAAAAATGCATGGTGCATTACACATGGGTCAGATAGGACTTTGCATACAAGACAAACATAGCTTGTTCCAAGTTATTGTCTCAAGGTCACATCCTATCGCTTGTTCTATATGTGATGAGAAGTTGTGTGGGAAGGCTTTTTCATGCGTGGTGTGTGAAGATATATATCACCCTCTATGTATCCAAGTTGGGAGGCAAGTACTAGTTGGTCATCCACTTCATTCTGATCACATGCTAGCAATTTCACTGCTTGAAAGTGGATCCAAGTGCACGGCCTGCCAACTGAATATTACAACAAAGTATGGCTATCTTTGTACCATTTGCAAAATCAATTTCCATATTGATTGCATCAAAGCAGTGGTAGTACCAAGCAAGATCAAATCTCATAGGCACTATCTCTATAACTTTTGGAACAATGATTTAAGGGTGACTCGAGCTTGCAGTGTTTGCACTAGACCATGTGGTTTGTCGTTCTACGGATGTATTGACTGTATGTTCAGCGCACATGTAGAGTGTGTTGGGTTTCCAGCTAATGTGAAGAACCAACGGCATCAGCATACTCTCACACAAGTATACACTTCTCACAGGAAAAAATGGTCTGTCCGTGAATCATACATGGATGATATATATTACGCATGTTATCATTGCGAGCATGGATATGATAGTCAAACTATAATGTCTAAGGTAAAGAGTTAACCGATTATTTAAACAAACAAATTCTTCACTTTCATCACTTTTCTTTTCCGGATTCATATAGGACGACCGTGAGGAAGCAACAGAAGAGGAACAACTTCAAGACATCTATCTTATGTACCTTGAGCGTGATCTCAGTGACCTTTTAGGTAGTGTTCTGCATCCCTCTTGAATTTAACCACAAGTACCGTCATATCAAGTTATTCCTCAAAATCATCTCATTTTCTTCTTGTAGTGTGAACAGAAGATGAAGCCTCTTCGTTTGGTTCTGCCTCCCTATATGAAACTGAATACTGAAATTTCCCTTATCTGAGGTTATGCCTCAATCTCTTCTCTTTTTTTTTTTATCGTGTTTTTACAATGGAAGGTGGCATGTTCGAAGACTTGAGACTCTGATGAGTCTTAATTTGTTATGCCTCCCTCTCTTAAATGCAACTTCATTGAACGAAAGTTATGTTTCAGAATTCTCTATCTTCTACTTATGATCTATTTTGTGGATTTACTTTGCAACATGTTTATTTGTTGGATCTTGAATCTGTGGTTTTCATTATTCTGATTGCCAAGTTTGATTTCTCTTCAAGTGTATACCTAATTTAGTAGTGAGTTTCTCCGATTTTTGGTGTGGAATATAGTAGTTTTGATGTTGTCTCTTCATTATTTTTGCTTTTAAGAGAAAATACTTGCATTTTGTTTTTCGCATAATCAAGATTTTGTTTTCCGAAAAACATATATAGACTCATAGTGTGAAGCCTAAGCCTCTATCTGGAAAATTTAGACAAACAGCAAAAACGTCAGGAACATGATTTGCTTTGAGTCTTCTCCAGATTTAATGAACATGCTTAATTGGAGGACTGATATTGGAAGTGTGAATACCGATAAAGAAACACATATTGCCAGAAACAGAGAAAACAGAACAAGAAAAAACAGAGCAAATAAACATATTACAAGCATGATTCACTAACCGAGAGAAATTAGAGGTATAACAATCAGATTAACAAGAAGTTGCAGCACTTTGTTTCAGAGGAGGCGCAACCGAACTACGAAGAATCACGGTCTTTGATACGATGTCGGTCAATACACCGAAGATGATAAACTGTTTCACACTCCATACATGACACAGCTTTCCCAAGCACTCTCTCATGACATATAATACAAACTTTTTGATATGATCTCGGGAACGTAACTTGAACCATCCCATGCTTGCCTCCCAAACAACGTCCTCTCCAAGTTCCAACGACTTTCGGCCCTAACATTCCAAGAAAACGTTTACCTCTCATGGCGTAAAAGGGGACACTGTCAATCTCCTCCCTACATGCACCACAAAATGTTCGACCACCACTTTGTATGTAATCAAGGCGTCTGAGAGGGTGTACCAGATGCACGGGATGTCGAATCTCTGTCGGAAGATCGAGACAGCGCTCCAGGTCCGGTCCTTGAACTTTTGGAGCCTAAAGCATATTTGAAACTATTGTTAAAATTTTTTTAAAAACTATAAAAATAGGGATTCGAACTCGGAACATGACACTAGTTAACCAACTACCTAACCACCAGACCAAGGAAGATTCTTACTTATGTGGCCCTAAAAATTTTCTTATATTTTGTTGCCTAAAGCAAATGCTTTGCCTGCTTTATGGGTGGGCCGGGCCTGCAGCGCTCGTGGAGAAACGAGTAACAGTAAACACAACCGTAACATATAGAAGAGGGAGACAGAGGGAGCTCACAAAGCAGGCAAGAGCCTCTAGCATCTTGTCCTGGTCTACACCTTCGAAGCAAATGTTCATGATTGTAATGAAGCATTTCTCTAACGTCCCAACCTGTGAAAATGTTCCTCAGTAGTGCACAACCGAGATCAAGATAGATCTCACATTCTTTACATTCATAGAATGAGCAAGAAGACATGTTCCCACAACAAGAGCAGACAATGTAACCAGGTTTTCGATCATATTGGAATAGACAAAACTCTAGAGGATGTTCTGAGTGAAAATCATGTGACACCTTTTGCGGCAGCTTGGAGCAAGTCTTACATATATCAAAATTGCAAGGCTTACATGCGTATTCAACAACTTGGTCTTCGAAGCAAATGTTGCAGATACCTTCAGATACAACCTCCGGCGAGGTTAAAGGGCATGAATGGGAGAAATGCTCGAGTTTCCCCATCGTGATAAGCAAGATTGCAATCTTGATCCAAGACTAGCATTAAAATAACACAATAATCTTGATCACAGAACCTTCATGATTCAAAACTAAATCCTACAATGATTGTTTATCCCAAGTGGAGATCAATCGTTTTCTCAACGTGGAGTGGTTGGGAAATTTAATATTTTTTCTCGTTTATTGACCTAGCTTAATGGGATTCTATTAAAGCCCATTTATAAAATTACTTTAGAGCTAATGGCGTTTAGTGTTTCAATTTATTTATTTCGGTCATACAATTATTGAAAATGCAACTTAAAAATTGATGAAGAGCCTTCTGTGTGTCATTAGAAGGTTCTTAATGAAGCAAGTTTTGAGTTCACATCAAGAAAGCGTAATGATTGCTCGAGTAATTACCCGATACACTTAACCGCAAGGTAGTATATACGGGATCGATCCACAAGGACCAAAGATACTCTAAGGATTTTCGAGACTTGTTCTTAGCTAAAACTAAAAAGTTGTTTTGTTTGAGTTTTCCGAATTGTAAAATAAAAATGCAATTAAATTAAACGATTTAAGTTTCAAGATTTAAAGACATTAGGCATTAGGGTATTTCAGAGATCAATAAACAATGGAAACATGGGACAAGGAATTCAACAATTACGAACCGTTCTTGAACATGAACACAACTTAGACTAATTCTCTTTCAAGACATTAATCACTAAATTTGACTACTCGATTACTAAACTTTCGCATGTAATTTCCTAGTCAAATTCGCATTATCAAACAAGTTCATTTAGTTCACAATGCGTCCTAACTTCAACTTTCGTTGGCTAGAAATACATTGCTCAATTCACATTCTTTCAGGCATTCTATCGAACACTTTTGATGCATAGAAAAACCTAGGTTCTACAACAGGGTGATCAATCCTATTCTAGCATTAAGAACATGTGAATCAAAGAACCTAGAGAATGAGAATTCCAAACAACAATTAATCCATTAATCTATCGAATCTCCTAATTAGAACCCTAACACCTAATTAAAAGACTACTCATACATAGCAACAGAAACAAGACAAATAGATGAAGAAGACATAATTGAATTGCAATGAAAATAAGAAATAGGGTTTAGAAATCTTCTCCAAATTGTCAAAGAGGATGAATCTCTAGAATCCCAAGGTTGCTTACAAGAGAAAAGTCTCAGAAAAATTGCAGAAAGAAAAACGTCCCCAGAAAAATTAGGTCTCTGGGGTTTTTATACCCAAGTAAAAAAAAGAAGACAAAACCCGGTTTAGGAAAACCGTCTCGGGACGTCGAGGCTCGGATCGATCGATCCCATGGGTGGATCGATCGATCCAGATATGCTGAATCAATTGGTCTTGGACGGATGATGCTGGATCGATCGATCCCCTCCTGGGATCGATCGATCTCGAGCTACTGGAACTTTTGGCTTCATCGTCACAATTGGGATCGATCGATCCACGCCTTGGATCGATCGATCCCCAGCTCCTGGTGATCTCTTGTACCGTTTCTCCATTGTTTTAGCTCCGAATAGGCTCAATCATGTACAAGATGCTCCGAATCCAGCTCGAGCACCTATAACCTGCAAAGGACTCAAGACACAACCGAAAAGACGCAAAAGACGGACTTTGACACGATAGATGACTCAAAACATGGACTAAACCAAGACTCGAAACCGTTAAAAACGCAACACATCACGTAATCCAACAGATGATAAAGACAAGTCCTTTTGACTCACTGAGGACACGTGACCAACAAGATAGGTCTAGACTTCTGTAGAACTGCCACGTCTTGGCCAGGTGGCAGGTTTCAAGACCATGGCTTGAGGGTATAAATTAGTTTTGGTGTGGACAGAGAGGAAAATGAGTTTATCATCAACAATGTCGGGAGCACAAGGAGCAGAGCCGATGGGGTCAAGAACGGCGACAACGTATGAGTCGGTGGAAGGAGGACAGAACAAGACGAAGCTTGATATAAAGTCAAAGGAAGACGAAGGTGGGATTCAAGTTGACAAGCTTCAAGACAAGGTCTCTGATGCTGCTGGTCTTGGCGGACCTGTCTTTGGTGCTGGTAAAGATGACAAGAAGCAGGATCTTGGTGTTACCGGCACCGGCTAGATCTCTGTCCTTTGTAGTCATGTAATGTTAAGACATGTTTTTAAGTAAAAAACTAATCAATAAAAGTCTTTTTGAGAAAACGATGAAACTTATTTTAAGAGCCAAAAGAATTTGTATATGAAGAAACAGAGAGCAAGATCTAATAAGACCCTCACAAAACCAACCAAGAGCAAAAGAAATAACAGACTAAATCAGAGAAAGGACCAAGAAACTAAGTATGGTAGCTCTCAATACACTGAGGATGGTATATCTCTTCACACTTCATACATGATACAGCTTTCCCACACAACTTCTCATCACAAATAACGCAAGTAGTCGGATATGACCTCGAGACCATAACTTGAACCAATCTATTATGCACGCCTTTCTTGCACCATCCTCTCCAAGTGCCAGTGAATTTCTGCCTTAAAGCTTCAAGAACATGTTTACTTTTCAAGGCACAGTTGATGTGGATAACAAAATCACATATGCGGCAGAAGAGATTGAAGTTGTATATATTTCCTCTGCAAACGTCACATTTCATCTTTTCTTGTGAAGGATACTTTGGCAAGAGTGTCAAAGGGTGGTTCTGATGAAGTCGATGTTTTGATGGTCGCCCCAGCTCCGCACAGTAATGATGTGTCTCGAAGCTGCAGGTCTCGCATTTCCATGGATTACTAAGTATTTTTCCTCCACAGATCTTGCAACATGGATATTTATCAAGATCACTCATGAGGACTGGTTTCATCACATGAATATGCCAGATATCATTAACCTGCAACACATATTTGAAGCAATTAGGCAAAACAAAAAAGTGTTTATATACTTTTCATGAGTATGATTGATCATGTAAAAGTCATACTGTAAGTTTGTTTTCTAAGTTGTTGGTTCCAGAGTAGTCTTGATCTATTGATCTCATTGTAACTTTTCCAGAAGAATACAGATCTTTCAAGTACAACGGCGAAGGCTCTTCCTGTTGATTATGAGTAAGAGTAGCTTCTCATCATCGGCTCTATTACCATCATCAATAAGAAAAAGAATTGTAATGACGTATTAATTACCTCGCGAAGAATGCATCCAATGTGACCAACAAAATCACATTCTTTACAAGTATAAGCATGATGTCCGGCGTGTACTATTGTCTCACAAACGCCACAATACTCCATAGAATTGTTTTCCGCTACGAAAGTTTTAAGCACAAGCGGATGAATGTGAAAAGATTTCTTGACCACGGACTCGGGTATGTCAACACACTTGAAATGAAATATTGAATCACATTCCACGCACTGATAGTAGTATGTGGCATAGACCCAATCGCCTCTCATGCATATTTCGCAAGGCATTCGTCCATAAGTACTTTTCATTCCACCACACACATAAAACAATCTGTGTTCATGAGACTTGTGCATCAGGCTTCGCAACAAGGAATCTGCACACCTCATGTGAATGTCAAAATTGCATTCTAGACAACCAAACGGGACACCGATGATCTTGTCACCGCAAGCATTGCAATCTCTTCCAACTCCACAATTATGTGCATAATCAAGGCGTCTGAGAGGGTGTGGTGGATGCACCGGATGCTGAATCTCTATCGGAAGATCAAGGCAGCGCTCGTGAAGAAACGAGTAACAATGAACACAACCGTAACATATCGAAGATGGAGACAGAGGAAGCTCACAGAGGAGACAACAGCCTTTAGCATCTTGACCTGGTCTACACCTCTTAACCAAGTGGCAATGGCTATAATGAAGCATTTCTCTCAAGTCCCAACTCGTGACGATGTTCTTGAAATGCGCACATCCCAAATCAAGATAGATCTCACACTCTTTACACTCATAGAAAGAGCCAGAAAACATGTTCCCACACCCTGAGCATACGACGTACTCAGGTGTCCGATCATATTGGCCTAGACAAAACTCTAAAGTGTGATCCGGGTGAAATTCATGAAACACCTTTTGTGGCAGCTCACAGCAAGTTTTACAGAGATCGAATTTGCAAGACTTACAGGCGAACTCAACAGGTTCATCTTTGTAACAAATGTTACAGACACCATACGTGAAGATCTCCGGCGAGGCCAGCTTACATTCATGGGAGAAATGCTGCAGCTCTGCCATTATTGATGGGAAGCACCAAAGTCAACAAGAAAGACACGCAGAGAGATTTTAGAATTTTAAATACAGAGACAGAACATGACTTACATTGAGTTACTCATGGGCTTGTTACAGGCCCACATAATGTAGACATTGAAGCAACTCTACTCTCTACAAGTGAAGCACTGAAAACATATGATCTGATAATACCTTTCTTTACTAACAAAATCAAATACCAAATCACTTACAAGACTGAACACACACATTATAGACTTCAATAGAAGAAAGGAAAGAGATGATCAACTTCTTCATAGGTCAACTTGCATACATATACAAAAGAAAAAACCTAAGACACAATCATTCTTGTGTTTTGTCTCACAGAGGAAGTTATGAGACTATTTGATGTTCTCTTAGTTCTAAATTAAGTCATATGAAGGAAGCAGCACCATTTTCGACGTCATCAGTCTTAATTGTTCCATCTAAAGACATAAGCACTCTGTATATCCGCTTCGAACAGGCATCACCAACCATTTTGTCTTCTCCTACTAAATTTTCCACTCTCAAATCTTTCAGTAGAAACTCCTTCTCATGAACCTGCTCCCCAGTTTATGAAACTGTTAGAAACATCAACTGAAGAAGTCAATATCCATAGTTTGTATTTACTCACCGATATGTTAGGATCCATATAAACCTTAAGAAGGGACTTCAAGGATGGGTATTTCTTCGACACTGCTACAGCGTATCTTGGCTGTACCTTTGGTATTGCTACCAACACTTTCAACCTATCGACCCAATGCATATTTACTTATTAAACAAAGCAGGTGATTTATAAAAATATTAAAATTGAAAATGGGTTTAGATCACTATACCATAGGCTCTCTCTAACCAAGTGCTTATCAGCTGCATTCTTGGACATTAATGTACCATCAGCGCATACTGATAACCGAGTTAACTTATTCCTGCACATCAGACAGTTTAATTCAGTATCAAGGACGTCAACACAGAGATAATTTCAGTTAATGTTAAGCTTCCGGATTTTCACTAGTTTGGATCTTCCATTTCTAGTTGTATCAAAATATTTTTGGTTGGATTTGTTTGATGGGAGGAAAGGAAATGAAACTTCCATTTGGGTATCATATCGAATCAAAATCTTTTTGGAAACAAAACTGAAATAGCATAGATATTAATACCTGACTTGGCAATAGGCCAGATTACTTGTTAAACGAACAAGATGGTCAGCCACCTCAGCCTCGTCTACACAGTGTCTGGAATGTACTCCAGTGTAGTGAGTTGTTAACTTTGCAATTGCCTGTAACACATCAGATCTTTATTAAGGACATAAAAGAAGCATTGAGTAGTTTTCATCTAAACACATTTTGATTAGGAACAGTAGTACCTCATCAATAGGAGGCTTTCTCCAACCACTGCGATTAACAGGGTCCTTGTACTCAACACTCTCCCTAGAAGATAGATTTTTCAGCTTCATGATGGAAACATTAATGCAACAAAAATTTACCTTCTCAAACGCACTTTTTTTTTACGTAGGACATTAACCTATTGGTGAGGTAGCACATCTTATAAGATGGGTATTTGTCACGGACTCTGGAGACGTTTTCGAGAAGTTCTTTATTAGCAACAAGATTACAAAAGTCTTCAGCCTCATACATAAGTAAAACATATGGAATCTCGGATCCTAGGGGTAAAGTCTGCAATAGATAAAAGAATATGCAAATCAAGACAATAAGAAAGCACTGGGTACATGTTCAACTTAGCTTATCATCACAGGAAACAGAGATACAGACCAGATTGGGGCATTGATAACAGTTGCAAGTTCTGTGTTTTAGTTATGAGATTCAAGATGCAAGCCAGTTGATTAACATTGGTCCATGCTACAAATTGACTGAGATTTTATCGTACCTGAGCAATATCCTCTGGAAGTGTCATTGTCCACACAATGGATCTTTCAATTGGATTAGGGGTTACACGGTATGTAATGCCTTTCTCTTGCAACCCCGAAATGAGACGTCCTGTATAAATTGAAGGCACTAAGTCTCCATACTTTAGTGATGAACTAGCCAATCTTGAGGTATATGTTGAAGAATGATACACAGAATGGAGAAAGTCCTTACCTCCAACAGATTCTTCAACTAATTTATTGTCAATCAAGGCGACAATAGATTTAAGCGCTTTGTCCTTTGCCCATTTCTGCTTTTCCTTCTCCAACTTTTTATGCTCAGCATCTTCAGCTTTCATGGCGGCTTTTTGTAATTTCTCTTGCTGGATGATAGAAGCTAAATTAACTATTGATCCAGGGAACAAAAAACTTAAGAAACATGTTAAACAAAGCTCACTTCTTTTCTTAACTTCTTTTCCTCTGACGCTCGGACTTTTTCATTTTTTGACATCTGCTTTTTAGGCAATTCATCAGCAGAAAGAGATGTACTTTTAGAACTTCTGCTCTGCTTTTGTCGACGCAATTTCTCAACACTTGTATCTTCTTTCTCATGGTCAGAATCTACCTGATTTTTGCAAGTAATCAATATAACAAACGACGTAAGCAATTTATATATTATACAGCTTGTACCATTTAGTAATAAGATCAACGCAATGTGGTATCATCATCTGAAAGCAGCAATGCCCAAAATAAACAAACAAATGACACTTGAGAATCCCAAATACTTACCCCTCTAAAAGAAAGCATTAGGAATCACAAAAAGAGCAAACAATGCCTTAATCACGAAGAATATGGTATGAGTGCAGATAAAGTACCTCAATAGCATCTTTAGACATGGTAGATCGAAAACTAGGTCGCTGCATCCAGCTAGTATCATCATCTGAAAGAAAACAGCCACAAGCAATTTATATAAGTGGAGAAGAACCTACCCTTTGCAATTGAAGTTCATCACTAGAGTATGCATGTTTTTTATAGTTGATAAAGTAGTCAACTTTGGTCTCAGGGTAAGCAGAAGATATGCTTGTATTCAGGTCATAGTTAGCCTCACCAGAATCAGCATCACTGGATCCAGATTTCAATGTACAAGGCTGCTTCCAAGAATCAGCATCCACGGGTTCATACTTCTTTGAAGTCCCTGGTCGAGAGCTGTCTTCAGAATCCGACTCAAGAGATATTACTCGTTTACCTAATCAGATTTACCAAAAAAAAAAAAAAAAAAAAGCTCAGCGAAACAGTAAAACCCTAACATAGAAACTGAAAGACTCATCATGAATCACAGAAATTAACAGGTAGAAGAGTCTCCCCCAAGTATAAATTCCCCTATAAACGAAACTATTTCAACATAATCGTCGGCGAACTGAAATAACAAAGACGGATTGAGATATTTCTCGATTAGGAACGTCAAACTTACCGGAAAACTTGTTTAAAGAAACTCCGATTCAGGAACCAAAGGAAGACTTGACGACAGTGACATCGTCAAAGAGAGTTGTCTCGTCGACGAGCAACGGAGTAGAAGCAGATCCCGGCGGTTGCTTCTGCGGTGATGGATCCGTATCCAAGTTCAAAATCGTAGGTGTAGAATTCTTTCGAGCCTTCTTCGACGGTGGTGGAGTAGCTTCATCCTCGCCGTCGGAGATCAGAATGAGATCGCTCATTGAGAGAGAGAGAGAGAGAGAGAGAGAGATAGAGAGAGAGAGATTTCTTCGAGTTTGAATTTGGCAATGAAGGCGGGACTATCGATAAAGAAGAGAATACGTCTCTCTTTTTTTTCTTGCAACAGGTTTATTAGATTGGCGAAGAGAATACGTCTCAAAATGCCCTTTTTTGTGAAATGGGAAGCTCAAAACTCTCCCATAAAAGCAGATAATTATTTTTTCAAACCCTATTCATAACTCTAAAACTACATAAAAAGTTTGGATATTTTCCCCCCACCCAAATTCAATCGGATCTAACCCAATTTTTCTAAAAAAATACAGAGAATTTTTTATTTTTCTCTTTTCTAAATCCTTAATATTACAAATTTTCCTCTAAATCTTCCTCTTTCTTTTGCGAGTTCGTGTGATAACCACTTCTCTTCCCCTCTTTTCGATTTCCCTCTCTTTCAATCGAAGAAAAACCGATCCCTTCAAATCATACTAGTCGTTCAATTTCATTCATTTCAATCCGTCTCTCGAAATCTTTTTCTCTTATTTCATTGATGTGTTCGTGAAACTAGGGAGAACTCGATTGTGAGAAATTATTCGGATTCGATCGAGAATGGCTCCTAAGACAAAGAAGAAGAAGAAGAAGAAGAAGATAGGAGGAGTTCCAAATGAAGAGGTCATGGATGATGGAGACAGGGATTCAGAGCCGAATCCTATTGCTGAGGAGGAAGTGGTAGAAAAATTAAGACAGAGGGAAAACTAATTCGTTTTGGTTGGGAAGAGTATCGTGATGTCATTTAGAATTGAATTGAAATTTCTGGGCAATAATACTAGTATAAATAAGTACAACTAGTGTGTTTTTGTAATACCGGTAGAACTAGATAAAACTAGTTGGATTTTATTTGTAATACTGGTATACCTAAGTAGAACTATTAGTCTTTTGAAAAATTCTGAAGAAAGTAGAACTTTATTCGATTACTGATTTCCCATATTAGAGGATACAAAATAACGTCCAAGAGACTTGGTAATACTAGAGGATACTGCTGATTCTCCAGACCCACTAAATGAGCATGCTGGTCTTTCATACCCACCATGTAAGCAAGTGACAAGGTCAAGAAAAAATGTGGTGTGAAGACAAAGATTGGAGAAGATGCTACGTCTGTGGAGCCATTCTTTCTAAGAGAGGTGGATGATATGAATTATTTTTGGTTGTTATGTTTTTAATCTTTCTTCATTGTTTACATCCACATGACATTGTTTATCTGGATGAAGCGTCTTCATAAAGAATATTCCGTCTTCATTATATTTTTGTCTTATGGTGGTTGTTTCGATTTGTATTACTGGTAGTACTAGGTGAAACTATGTTGTTGGTTTTGTTTTTGGATTTGTACTACTAGTATTACTAGGTAAAACTATGTTCGACGTCAAATTACACATGTGCGCCGTCAAATTTACACATATGCGCCGTAAAATTCAATTTAAGTACACGCATGCGCCTCTTTTACTCACATGTGCACAGCTAAATTTACTCTTAGTTATACAGAAGATAGTAGTTATACCAAAGTTCAAATAGTTTTACATTGGCTGTTTTCCATATTAATTAGTATTACGTATTGCGTACCCTAAAAATTTGTATTTTTAGTTTAATAATTGTTTTAAGTCGATTAACCTCTAATTATGAGTGATTTAAGTCGATTAATCTATCGATCGCACACACGATAGATCATTTGACGGGGCTGTATTTTAATTTTCGTATTTTAAATATGTTTTCTCAATTTGTACCTACACGAAATAATATGTTTGACTTTATGTCTTGTTAAACTATGATGAAATATTGGTAATACTAGTAATACTAGAAACTAGATTTTAACCCGCGGTACACCGCAGGATGATTTAATTTTAAAGTTAGTATGAAAATATTTTGTAAATTGTATCTTCTTATAACATATTTATTTATATTATAGTTTACAATTGTTATTAAGTAACGGTATACCACGAGTCCACGAGACAATTATTAATAAACTGAGGATTTAACCCGTATTAAAGCGGTATATAAATATTGATTCAAATTCGTCCGCCATATAAATCCTTTCCAAAATATAACTCGTTCCATAATTTCTTAACCCGTCCCCTGATTTGTTTTTATTTTAAAATTTAATGATTATTTATTATATATAAAAGTTTACAAATCATATCATTCTCTAAGACATTTATATTTCAATAAACTGAATATTTAATATGTATTGAAGCGGCATGTTAATAATATTTAAAATTTTATAAATATTGTTATTAAGTAACATTATACCACGGGACAATTTTTGGTTTTATACAATCTTTTCTAAATGAGACTGATTTAATATGTCTAATATTGGCGGTATTAAAAAAAATAAGGATTTAATCCGTATTGAAGCGGCGGATTAATGATATTTTAATCTTTTTATTATTGTTTATTCAAAAACCCGTACCGCCAAACCCGTTCCGCCAAAAAACTCATTTATTTTATTAATGTTGATCTTATTTATGATATGATTCTGAATCATTGTCTAAATATTTTAATCGATGTAGAACGTTGAACACACTTTTTCGTCAATTAGATAATATATGTCCGTTTTTTTAAATTTTGAATCACAGTATATGCAGAAAAAAAATTGATTTTTTTTTTACTTTATGTATTATATGATGATTCAAAACAGTTAAAATTAAATCAAACAAAGATGATAGGAGAATCATAATTCTAAATCTTAATCAAATCTTCTAAATATCTAAATTATTTAATATGGAATATCCCGTGTATGAGTTGGATTAAATATAACCCGACCCAACAAATTTTTTGTGAAGGATTTTGAAAAATGGGTCGGATATCCGATTAACCCAGAAGCATTTTTACCCACCCGTCACCAAAGTGTTGCAAAATACTAGTATAGATAATAGGAATACTGGTAATAATAGTAATACTAGGAATAATTGAAGGGAATTTCAAATTGGGGGGGGGGGAACCACAAGAAAAATGGGGGAAAATTTCGAATTTTTGATTTTGGGGGGAATTTTATCCACGTGTGCGCCGTCTTATCCATGTGTGGTGCCGTTTTTTTCACCAGTGAGCAACCTTTTAAACATAGTTTTACCCAAGGTAGTAGTTGTACCAAAGTTCTACATAGTTATACTTTTGCTGTTTTTCATTTAAATCAGTATTACGTACCCTTCAAAATTCGATTTTCTAGTTGTACAATTGATTAAAGTCAATACACATATAATTCTGAATGTTTTATCTATTCATATGTTAAAAAAATAAATTTTTGTAAACTTTTCATCCTAAGTTGGTTATTAGACATAAAGTGAGCTTAAAAGTATAAGGGATATATTGTGTAGATTCTTTCATAACAATCCAATATAATATAATTTTGTAAATTCTTACTTAATTCATATTGTATCATTTATAAGAGTTCTTTACCACTTAATAAACGTTGTAACGTTTGGTTTTGTGAAAAAAAAAAAAAAAATCAAGAACAAGTTCTTTCTCAAGTTATACTAGTTTTACCAGTACTACTCAATTACCACATAAACAAATCATAATATTATATAACGAAAATCAATGTTACATAGTTGTCCAAGTCGTAAATATTTTACAAAACAAAAACTGTAGATAAAATCAAACACTATGATTGTCAAATAAAAACCATTGACATCATTGCCTCGGTCGCCTTTTGTTTTGCGTCCTTAAACGTCTTTCTCCAACCGATGGAAACATTTTTACTTTACTTCTTCCCTTCTTTTTTTTTTGCAAGGCGGAGGTATAATTTCACCCTCTTGAATAGAATCATCTTTTTCTATTGCCTCGTGTTGTTGTTTTCTTTTTTCCTTGTCTACATACAAATTGATGGCATTATCTCTGATTTCATCCTCATTTGATTCCAATTCCGCATAGTTCTTACCAACAGAACTTTTATCCATTCTCGATAGTTGCTCGGACAATTCTGGTTTAGTGATGACCTCTACAAACAAAACATATCTACGGTTGTTTTCAACGGACGCTATATAAACACGGACATCCTCATCATCACAAATGTTCATCTCTTCTTCTGGTCCCAACAGCAGTGCATTGTACCTCATTTGCAATTTAACCTTACTTTCATCTAATCCAAGCTTCGTATATATCCTAGCTTTTAACATGGAGAGAGTTATCTTCTCCCATGATATCTTCATCATCAAACTATACGTGCGACCTTCGCATTTAAAATATATGATCACGTTCTCGCTCATTATATCCTGCCAAAATAATAGTACAAAAAATCTGTCAGTAATTCTAGTTTTACTAGTTATACTATTTTGTAGTAATACTAGTGTACCTAGTCATACTAAATATATTAGTAATACTAGTGTAACTAGTCATACTACATATATCAGTAATACTAGTGTAACTAGTCATACTACATATATCAGTAATACTAGTATAACTAGTCATACTACATATATCAGTAATACTAGTATAACTAGTCATACTACATATATCAGTAATACTAGTATAACTAGTCATACTACATATATCAGTACGGTTCAATTCTACTACATATATCAGTACGGTTCAATTCTACCCAGTTCTACTATCGCGAGAAGAACACAAATTGGATGTTTCAGGTTCAAATCTACAATTCACTACAATTTAGCAACTTAAATCCATTTGTTACCTATTTAGAGACCTAATCGACCCAGAAACTATGCATAAACTTCCAATGTGCATAACAAACATAATAAGCCAAATCTAATTGGATTGAATCCTTAAATATGTAAATCTAAAAGGAGCTCATTTTCAAGCTCTATGTAGCTCGAGGAATATACCTTGACTTTGTATGTGGACGCAGCTCGCCGGAGGAGAAGAAACGGTAACAATGAGATCTTTGCCGGAGGAGACGTCAATGGAGTTCGAGAGCTCCGGTGGCTTTTTTTTTTTCTGGTTTTGATTTTTTTTTTTTTGTTTAATTTTAGTTCGAGAGCTCCCGTGGCGTCGGATCAGTGTAGTGTAGTAGTAGGGTTTTGTTATTGAACACACGATCAACGGCTGAGATTTGTTTCATTTTTTGCTTCTGTTGCATTATATTTAGGCTTTGTGATTTATTGGTGGGTTACTT